GTAAAATGAGGACCCGGATTGTTGGGGGCGATATGCTGACACTGTAAACCGCTTAGAGAGGGCTGAAAGCCCTATGAAGTGGTATATAAGTCTAATAGCTATAGCTATTGCTATAATGCCTAATAAGAATAACTCTGGCTTAAACCCTATATATTGTCCAGTCCATTTTTTTTCTAACCACATACAGGCATTTGTATCCAAAATGTCCTTGCCTTTATACAGTTCCACCACATGTGATAATAATATTAATATTTGTTAATATTTCCAATGGGTTTGGGGACATATTGTTAAACATTTTGGCCAATCTTGGTGGTTGTGGTGGGGGAAGATGCCACCTATTGAACATTTTATGGAGATGTTCCTTATGTGATGTGGCCGTTTTCTTTCTCTTTTGGTTGGAAGCTTCCAAAACATTTCCTCTTTTTCTCTGTTGTTCTCTGTCCTACCCAGGCAGACTTCCCGGTCCTGGCTGAGCACCGGATGGTTTACTATGGTGATTGCGGTGGAATTGTGCGACAAACTCCACGTTTATGGCATGGTGCCCCCCAGTTACTGCAAGTAAGTAGCCGCCCGCCTGGCTTTCAAGGCTTGAGGTGGGTGGGTGGGGAAATCCCCTTTCTCGACCTCACCTGTCTTTTCTCCTAACAGTAAGACCCCTCCCCACCGGCTGCCCTACCACTATTACGAACCCAAAGGGCCAGACGAATGCACCACTTACATCCACAACGAACGCAGCCACAAAGGAAATCATCACCGTTTCATCACCGAGAAACGAGTCTTCGGCCGATGGGCTAATCTCTACAACATCACTTTCTCGCACCCCGAATGGGAATAGTGGCAACAAGGAGACAACACCCCCCCCCCACAAGTGCCAAAACTGGGATCCTGCAGACTTCCCCACCCCTGGACTGCTGAGTTCTAAATTTCCCATCTTGTCCTAGAGGAGTGCCTTGGGGCATTAGAATTAGACGTCCGATGAGAATCACAGTTGGATGGAAGGCCAAGGTTGCTTCTAAGTTGAGCTTGTTGGTAAGCTCTCCAAGAGAATTTTCTCTCTCTCTTTCTCTGGTTCTTGTTATTTCTCATCATGCCCTAAAGGAGTTGGGGGCATTGTGGGAAATTAGAAGTCTGATGAGAATCACAGTTGGATGGAAGTCCATCAAGGTTGCTTCTAGTTGGATGGTTGATGGTTGGTAAGTTCTCCAAGAGAGATTTGTTTCCCCTTTCTCTGGTTCCTGGACTGCTGTGTTAAGTTTCCCATCATGCCATAGAGAAGCATCTTGGGGGCCTTGTGGGAAATTAGTAGTCCGATGAGTTCACAGTTGGATGGAAGTCCATCAAGGTTGCTTCTAGTTGGATGGTTGGTGGTTGGTAAGTTCTCCAAGAAAGTTTTGTTTCCCCTTTCTCTGGTTCCTGGACTGCTGTGTTAAGTTTCCCATCATGCCATAGAGAAGCATCTTGGGGGCCTTGTGGGAAATTAG